AGAAGCCCGCATCCCAGTTACAAAAAGTGATGTAACAGTCGAACAACAAGCCAATGAAAAAGTGCTGACAGTGGTTTTTGACTGTCACAGTGGAACCTCCCAGAAAGCAAGTCGGTGGACACCCAGCAGACACGGCACGTTGGGACCCCTTCTGGTCCAAAGGTTTCCACACTCACGTCGCCCCAACGTTCACTGGGCACGTTGGAGCCAAAGTTTTATCTCGGCGACAGTAACGCAAAGCTGTTTTCTTTAATTAACCTGTTTTACCTACATGTTTACTCGAGAGCAGTTGGACCACACGAGGCAACCCACAGTCGATTTAGCGTTTGATACAATATTCTGAATTGTGCATACGTGCCATTTCGAAAGCATGGCTTCCTGGACGAAGCCAATGGTTCCACGCGTGCACGTAACTTGGCACCATCCCCACCATAACGTGGATGACAAGGTCGATTTTTTTTTGGTATGTGACTTCAGTCCCTGTTTGTGAGCCACCGTCTCTTAATTAATCATAGCCCAGTGCACTTCATTGCAAGGCCCGCGGGCCAATACACAAAAACACTCATTGCAGGTGGTGTGGCGGCCCTCACACTGATGTCTTGTGGGTGAAAGTGGCCCACTCCCTCTGAAAATGAGTGAAGAACACTCTCATAGTCCATCGTCACTGCCATTGTCCAACATTCTCCCGCAGACGCTCATTCACTCGTCCGTGCATTGCCGATGTCAGCCCCAGCAGGAGGCGCGGTTTTGAGTGGCTGCTGCTGCTGGTGGTGATGATGGAAAATTACAGCTTCATATTTTGGGATTCTTGGGATTCAGTTCCAGTGAAGTCGTTCGTGGGTAGGCGAAATGTTTTTTGCTTGCACGCTCTGACGACCAGGCTGGAAATCCAGCTCATGTCGTTTTAAACCAGGTTATCTCTTTCAAAATAGAAGTCTGGTCTGAACGGGCTCCCACCTGGTTACACAAATAGCTGGATTTCTGTATCACAGCTCCATGGTCTACAGTTTTGTGTTAAGTCACCAGTGGTTCGCCCTATACGTTCGTTTATGACCGCGTCATAGGAAGGTGGAATTTCCACAAATGTCGAGCAACTCTCCCACACTGGTTTGAGATGGAAGCGATGTTGTTTTTGTGTCTTATTGCTTTGAGTTTACAAGACTTTAATGTCTGGGTGACTTCGACTGGAAAGCACGTGCTGGAAAACGGTCACGTGGCGTGGTTGACACGGGGCCCCAGTGCGAGGAATGAAATGGAGACGCTTCCCTGTCCAATTTCCTCCCCCCAACCCTCCCTTCTTCATAGCCTGGCTCCTGAGTTCGTGCCGGCCTGTGGACCCCGATGTTTAGTTAGTTTGTCCTTCCCCTGCACCTCTGATGAGCACGGTTGGCTAAGTACGGTGCGAAAGAAGCCCAACATACTTGAACTCGCCGGCACATTGTATAGGGACGCCACCGCTTCCTCCCGTCTGGATGATCTTTAAAAAAAGAAAGAGTTTTCATAGCTCATCGGATTTCTCCAGTCTAGATAAAGATGATGTCTCCACTTTAATTTGTTCAACGCCATGACCATGGCGTTGAACAGACAATTTGCGATTGCACGGTCAAAGAGTGTGATGAGATGAGTTGATGAGGATGATGACGATGATGCGTGTAATAAACGACAATGAGAGTGGCAATGAGTGTTGAATGATGAGCGAGTGCGATGGATGGGTTGGGGAAGTTGGAAATGGGCATGACGGTGCTCGTGATGGGGAATGGAGGGGACAGGGGAGTAGGGGGGCGGCTAAACAAGGGATGCGAAGTGAGTTTTAAGGGAAGAACGAAAACGATTTCAGTGCCGCTCGTTGTTTGACATCTGTGTCTGGTAGAGTCGTCCTCAGGTACAGACAATCATCTTTCATGTTGGTAGGTGCTCGAGAACGGAACGTGTCCCAACAGTCGGAAGGGCCGTCCATAAATGATGTCACGTGATTTTGGACGATTTTTGACCCCCCCCCCCCTCGTCACACGGCGTCACAAAAAGTCAGACCCCCCCTCAAATGTGACGTCACAAAGCTCTGCCCCCCCCCCCAAAAGTAAACATGCTTTAAATCGCTTTAAACTATTGTCATTGTAGTGCGTATTTAATGTGGCGATGCACTCTGATGTTATAAGAGAAAACATTTATTAAAAAGTATATTTCATTAAGTAGAACGTCTCTATTTATTTAAAGTTGCGCATTTTGATGTGACGTCACATTTCTCAAACCCCCCCCCCCCCCCATCACAAATGTCTGACCCCCCGTAGGTGCGTGACGTCATTTATGGACGGCCCCTCAATGAGACTAAATCGTGGGATCTTTGTGAATAGCGCTGCGGTACTGCCGAAATAATGACGCAATGTTTTGTTGATAACAAATTATATTTAATTCTTCTTTGTTGAAATCGCACCGCAATATGTTTTCTGCTTCACCAATGTAGGTTTTTTAATGTATTCACTGAATAGCAAAGTTAAGGCTGTAGTGGAGAATGATCAATTCATAGACGCCTCATTAAGTTAAAAAAAACTACGGAGACATTCCAATATAAAGAAAAAATTGTATTCAAAGCCTCTACATATCTCCCACCTATCTCAGTGCACATGTTACATAGTTTCACACTTTCCCGACAATGTGTCCAACAACACCGATCTGATTTACTCACTCGACATTCCATGATGCGTAGGCGTCGGTCATTAATATCTCACGTTTTTTTCACGTCCACACACACATGAGCCTTTGATGTAACCACACAAGACAAAGCCCAAGGGGTCGTCTAACGCGAACAAAGGGCCCGTGCAATTGTTGCGCCCCAGCCAATCCAACATGAGACCAGGGTAATTAGCGACATTCGACTAAATCACCAAGAATGGGCCCGATCTCGTCAGATATTGGCAGCTAAACGGGGTTGAGAAATTGGTTCGTGCGTGGGCAGGGGCGATCAACATGCACACGTTTGTTGCATCGGGCTACGGTGCCGCATGGTGGGTGTTCAGAGGGTAGTGCAGTCAACGTTGTCGCACGACAGTGAAATGCTTCGGTGTCTGTACTTCTCGCATTCGCCAAACCGTACTGACCAGTGTGGTGAAGTGTGATCGAATAACACCCAACGACGCACACGGGAAGGTCCTCGTTTGGCAGTGGATTGGCACATGTACGCTGTACGTGTATATATACATGGTTCTCCGTTACGTAATTATGTATGGTCACACGCCACCCGCTTGTCGTTTTTGTTCTAATAAAACCCATCTTCCCTTCTTTAACCAGCACTGTTTCATAGGCCATGTTCCCACTTTCGCGAAATTGCAAGTGTTGAGTGTGGTAATAGCCACGGTTACCAATACCGTGTTACGTCGCTGTAGTCTCGTGGCATTAAGCAATACACTTCCCGTGCCAACCGCAAGGACCCCTCCGTGTAGCCCGCAAGGACTGCTTGAGAAAGTTGGTGTTGGAGAGAAATCCAACAATGAGCCCGGAACGACACTTGAGCCGAAAAGGTGGCCAGCCCCACGCTTGGCCACCATGCTTAACAACTACCCCGACGCTCCTTGAGGCTGAGTCGATCTAGGGGAGGCTCGGCACCAGTCCACGTGTCACTCGACATTCACGTCAGCAGTAACCTGGGAATCGAAAGTTGCTGGGTTTGCAGCGCGGTGCGCGAACCACTGCGCCACCACTCCCCATTAGTTGGCCAAGCGCACACAGACACCCGCAGTGTTCACACGTTCAGAGGCAGACGAAGCAACATACGTAATTCCCTATTTACTCTGGGGTTAAGTCTCACTTAATTGGCGAAGTTTTGAAAAAACGTCGTTCTAATCGAGTGCGTCAATAGAACCAAACATGCTCCGGGTGGGCGTGACACAGAGAGCACAGTTTTGAACGTGCAATCTTGCCACGATTTCAAGTATAAATGTTGATGACACGTATCACGTGAGCCTGCACGCCACACGCACAAACACGCGGTGCCGCGGCTGGGATGAGACGAACAACACAGCTCGTTGTTTGCCAGTGATTAGATGTGGAGTTTTGACAGTGAGCCGTACACAACGCGGTTTTTTTTAAATTTCAGGGCGCACGTTAGTAGCTCTAGATTGTTTTTATCTCGGCTTAAAACAAAACAACACAACATCCACAGTAATGCCTCTCATGCAGAAGTCCACAGAACACATAAAAAAAGTATGAGTCGATTCGATATCTAAAATACTGAAATGTGTCCATAATAAAGGCTTTTTTGGGGTTAGTTCGCGTTATTTATAAATGTGTCGTAACCCTCCACCACCCGACAAGGTTAATCAGTAAAAAACGTGACACATTTTAACTGATTAGCCGTGTCGGGTGGTGGAGGGTTGCGACACATTTATAAATAACGCGATCTAACACAAAACAACCTTTATTATGAATAATATTGGTCGCGAAAGCCTATCGTGTTAAACTGAAATGTGTAATGACCGAAAAATGACCCCAAGCCACATGCAGCCTAACGGCTATTTCAACATAAACAACAGTCTCTGATTGGAGGAAACAGCCCTCCACGGTGATTGGTCGGGAGGCAGACTTTAAAGGGATTGGAGACTAAGGGGGTTGAACGGGAAAACAAAAAGGATCCGTTCAAGGGAAAGGACGGGGATTGGCTAGAGGTAAAAACAAGGACGAGAAGGTTCGAGAAAGGGGGGCAGCGGGAGATATAAGGGGGGAGAGCACGATGAGTGGGATACAAGCTGGAAGACGAGCACCAAGCCTCGGGTCCCTTAATGTAGAAGTCTTCAAATGAAAGTGGCTCTTCATCTAACTTGTCGTTGAGTCGTTACAAATGTTTACAATTACACCCAGGGCAGTCCATGGTGGGGGGGGGGGGCAAACTCCACCGTGTGGGCCCCCCGCTGCCTTCAAACTAAACCTGAAGTATTACATTTGTTATTGTGACATCGAAGCGCGCCGCCCCCCCCCCCCCCCAGCCAAAACACGCGGGGCCCAGGGCGGTCACCCCGATCCGCCGCACCCTCGGGGCCGGCTCTGATCACATTACATGCACGCGAGTCACGCCAGGTTGGCCATGTCTTCATATATGCACTGGTCCGCGGTGTTCTCAACAGCAGGGGTCTGTGAACAACAAGGTAGCTGTCGTTTAACGTAGGAATATATATAGCGTGTACTAGCTTTACTACCCAGCTTCGCCCGGAACTTGGATTCTTGTCTTGGATTAATACACGGCCTAGGCCAGGGGTCGGCAACCTACGGCTCCGGAGCCGCATGCGGCTCTTTACGGGCTGCTTCTTGACGATATGTACGTATGTACAGTATGTACTCAGATGCATTGCGGCTCTTGAAATACTGAATTTTGTACCGAATTGGAAAGAAATGGCTCTTCTTGTTATTTTGGTTGCCGACCCCTGGCCTAGGCGGAGGGTTGGGGGGGGGGGTGCGTGACGTCAGCAGGCACACTGCGTGACGCTGCCGCATGCGGGTGACATCACAGATGTGACGTCACCGCTCACTTGCTGTGCAAAATATATCCATTATTGCCCCCCCCCTCCCAAAAAATACAAAAGTCTATTCTTAGACTTTTGGCATTGTGTACAGTCTGGAAGCTACCCACATGCCAAATTTCAAGTTTGTTGCATGTCGGGAAGTATGCTAAACATTTCGAACAGACACACATATTCACAAATTTCCCTTTTATATATATAGATATCTCTGCACGCATGCTATGCAACGGTGTGTACCTGTGGGCTAACCAAACATAGGTGGCCCTGTTACATCGTCATGGCATTAGTTGTCATTGGAGGTCAACCGCCAACCAAAAAAATGCGTAGTTCTGAGCAGCCTTTGGTGAAGTATGGTCAAAACCAACCCCCGTGACTGACACAGTATGGGCTGGCATTCAACTCGCAGTGTATTCGACAAAGAGGCTGCAAATAATGATTTATTAGTACATACTGCTATCAACATTTATAAGTAACACGGGTGTTGTACGAGGGGCGTGTTTTTTAAATAAATTTTTTAAATTTCTTTACACGCTTTTACTGAACTTTGTCTGTTGTTGTTGTCGTATCCTCAAATCTTGTAACTCAATTTTAACCCACTTCCCATTGTGGTATCGACTGCAAACTTGGTATACTTATGTCATACTGATGACAATACTATATTATATCATAAAAATGCAAAAATATATTTTTAAACATTATTTTTGATATGTTATGTTTCGCCTTGGGTCTAATTGTCCACGCTCAACTGACGTTGGCTGTAATTGGCCACGGCCCCTTACGTTATGGCAAGCCTCGGGGCCACTTCCTGGAGTCGTGGAGTTCTGCCATTACTAGTAGGGTACATTTCATTAAAGCATGTGTTTTAAAAAGTTTTTATTTATATTACTTATTCCATAGAGTTCACTTATCCGTGGTCTGGTACATGGGGTAGTAAATATTGGGTGCGAGTCCAATTGCCTGTCTGTGGGATGAGACTTGCGACGATTGTAAAGGTATCTTAGACCCTGACAGCGAACGTAAGAATCAAGAAAATTTAATACGTAACTGCCGTTGAACCATTTGTTGAAATACATCAATCGGTGTTCAGGGAGTAAACAAATGATGAAGAGTGATCACAGAAGGAAGGGTATGTTATGTTTTGCACGTTAGCCAGACGTTGTCGTGATGCTAATTGTGACAATTGCACTGCCGTGTAATAAATAAGTGTGACGCATTGTCCATAATTCACCTGGAGCTCGCCACATGTTGCACGTTACACAACTATACAAAGGGATTCCCCTGGGGGGTAAAGCAATTATTGCCAGCGCAGCACTTTGTGCCACAGCCAGTGTGTCATTACATATTTACCGTAACGGCGATGACGGGACTTCTAATAAGTCACAGGACTGTAGGAGAATATTTATGGTATTTATTTCATTTTTGTGTGTGTGTGTGCATATACGTATAATGCACTGCCCTCTACGCAGAATACCATTACATACACGAGCACGTGAAGTTACAATTGCGTTTTCATTTTGGCCATGAAATTCAAAGTCGCGATGTGTAATGAATGGAGAGTTAATTTAAATTGTTACACACGGGCGATCGCGTGCAGCCGGTCGCCCGGCTTATTTACCAAAGGGAGATCCGTTGCCTGAGCACAGCAGCAACAACAAAAAACAAAGACGCGAGACATCAATGTTTCAGAGAACGAGCGCAGCAGGGCGCTTCAGGAATATTGCACAGCTAACGAAAGAAGTATTTAACGGTCTCAAACGAGACTGAATCAAATGCACCGCAGATTTGTGCTTTGAAATTTTGGCAGGTGGCCAGAATGGGGCGGAGTGATTTTAAACGATGATTCTCGGGAGATTATGAAACAGATGCTCACTCGGGCATCAGCCACGTATGTTGAACTTTTTTCGCACCGTACGTAGCCAACCGTGCTGATCGGGGGGTGCGGGGTAAGGACAACAAACCTAAACACACCTAAAAGCAGTTCTAAATAAAGGAGTTTTCAATCTATATATAAAAGTGAGTGGCTCCTAATTGCTTCCTAATATCGGAAGGAAGAGCGTTCCAGACGGCCGCAGAAGCGCATCTGAACGCGCACGATGCGGTAACCACCGTCTTTGTCCGATGGCTCAGCCATAAGCCGCTGGGAGGATGAACAGAGTTCGCAAGCAATAGTTAAACTCCATCTCTCTGGAGCAATATATTGTGGTCGTATCTTCCAGCCGGCCTTGTAAAATCCGATTCCTAGTGGTTCCAGTGCCCAGTCAATTTCCAAACATTTACCAATCTTCTGCATCAGTGTCTTGCAATGTAGCAGCAGTTAGAGGCCATATAAATTCAAATTGTATTGTCTTGTTAAATAAATACTCAAACTTGGGCGCCAAGTCAATATCATGGGACTTTTAAATTGCTCCTTAAGTAAGTTCGCAATGACCAGTTTGGTGAAGTATGGTCAATAACCCCTATGCCCCAGAAAGTGAGGAGAAGACCTCATCCAGCAGTGGATTGTATTGTAAATGTAACTAAACTGTAAATCGGGTGATGGTACACAGCTCACATCTGTCGATTTATAAATCCGGAAGCCTGGACTATAAGGAGGAATGGAATGAGCAACGTTTTGCCGTCAAGCTAATTTGTAATTTAAATCCACAGTTAGTTCGTGCAATTGTGACAAGGAGCCCTCTAACACGCAACATCTTTGAAAGCGTGGCAGGGGTCGAAGAGGAGATGGCCGTATCCATGAAGGCCCTTACGCCTTTAAATTGTCGATTTTTTTTTAGAAAAGCCCGTGATATAAAAGGGATGTACTCACGTGTGTTGGTATGATCTTCCGCATGCTCTCGTAATGCTTCACGGTGTGGTCGACCGGAGCTGAAACGTGCAACACAATCGACGGATAACGACGACGCTCCCGCTAATAATGATGATGATGCTGCTGCTTAGTTCGCAAATTTATAAATGTGCACAGTGCAACAAGGCAGCAAAACGACTGGTCGGTTTAAAGCCTCGCATTAAGCGCCGTTTTAACGCTTTTTGAACAACAAACCCCCCCCCCCATTTTAGTTCGAGGTGTTTGGTGCAGAATAAACGTCGTGAACACCTGCGCAGGTGACGCGAGCGTTGTACACACAGGAGTGGTCCTCAGGCAGGCGGGGAGGAGCCGTCTCGATGTTTTCCACGCTCTTCGCGAAATCTGGCAAGAGACACAGAAGAAGAGTTCTGAATGAACACACCACTGATGCGAGGGAGCGTTTAGGGTGTTCCACATATGTACGAATCAGGTAAGAAGACTAAACAGTAGTTGGGTGACTATGGGACCCTTTTACCGCAAGCATGTGCGGTTAATTCAGACTTTATTCCTTGGTGTCCATTTGGTGTTTAAACATCTTAACGTCTCCTTTATTATTGCCAGAAAGGATAAAGCCTTTTCTGTTTCCGTCAGTAACGGAGTGATGGTTGGGATATTGTAAATGAAAGGCTGCTGTGGTGTAAATGGTTATGACTCAGGGTGTAGCGATGTGTGAGTTCATTGATTGATGAATTATTGATTGACACGATACTTATATTGAAGTCAACGTGCAAGGATCTCTACTATTTTTAATTTGTTATGAGTTCACGTGCCACATCCATGCAACTAAACAATCTTCAATACCTACTCTTGACTCGAATCGCAGACAGTATGAGAATCACAGTTACGACTTTAAGTTAACATTTTTGAAAGATTAAAATTCTACATCTTAAATGGGTATTTTTTTATATATTAAAAAAAATTGTTATGCATTCTGAAATATATTTAAGTGTTTATTATGATAGCGCTAAGTTAATACATATCTCGTGTGTGCTATCTGGTTCGTCTGGGTGAGCTATGTCCTTTGCCCCATGAGATATATTTAAGTGACCTCTTTGTTTCACACTGGAGGGAGCACGAACTTGCCACACCACTCATCCACTTCGCCACTGCAATGTCACAAGACAAAACTGGCATCTACCCAAACATCACGTGATGCAGTGTGTGCAGTCAGTGGTGACCAAGCTGAGACCAGTAAATCACAAAACCTGTGAGCCCCGTTTAATCAAAAGGTAGCGTCCTTGATTTCAACCCAGGATGTCAAGTTCAAGTTCATTTATTTGGTAAAGCCCTGTGAGCCATTCGGCTCTTGAATCGGGTGCAACCGCAACAAACAAAAAACTAAAACATGAACAAGAAAACATCTTAAAATTACTATGTGACTATGTGCAAACAGAAAATCCAAGAAAAGACAGCAAAATATTGCAGAAAAAGCACCGCACACCAACACTGTGTGCAAAAATCCCAGTGGGATGCAAGTCAAACAACAACAACAACCACAAGACAACTTAGATTAAGGCCATCAGTCTAACTCCATACTACAACAAACAAACATGTCAATGGTGTCAGCTGAGCACTTTGACCCTCTGACCTCTTCGCCACCTGGACACTTCATCTCTACTTTGAGCTTGGTGCCCATGCTCGCTGGACTGTCAATTAGGCACGCATCAACAACAAGTGGTTAATTCCAGGCAATAACATTTCGCTGCTAAATTGGCAAGTGTAAGGACAGGATCACACTGGATTTTTTTGTTCGACTTGAGTTCAATGACTACTTACATTACATGAAACGTATCCGTACCTCCGCCGTGGAACTGAACTTACAGGTAGGGGCTCATTGGTGGGTGACGATTGCTTCAGAGCACTTTACTCCGCCCGAATCACGGTTGGCTGCCGAATTCTGCTAAAGTTTACTTAGATTTCAACCGAGCAATTGCTGTGGCGGCGTTCACTTCACACGCCCCCGGCATCACTGAAGTGAGGCTTAAGTGGCCATTAGGTTAAAGTGATCCATTGTGATCCCTCCTTTAGGCTATTGGACTTTTCCGTTAAGTTGGGTTTGGTACGGCAAGAATTTGACAAAATGGAAGCCACTACCCCCTGGATATGGTAACGCTCACATGAATCTCATGGCGCAGTAATTTTTAGTTTGTTGTTGGTCGGCGATGCGGCAATGGACTCATCTCGACGAGCTGTACACGATGCACCACTACGGTGCGTACGAGCGTTCAGGGTTTCACACAATCGTCCTCGCTGCGTTTCGACATCGTGGAGTAGCACCGATTTCGGATTGATTGGTACCCCAGTCGCAGAGTTAAATACACCCCTGGAAAAAATAGTGTCCCAGAAATAAAATATTTATTTGCCTCGGCCAGTTTGTATTATTTGGTACCCCGGGGTACCGCCATAAGGATCACATGCATGCGTGCCTTAGTTTCTCACAGAATATTTTCTTTGGGGCAAACCCAACCCCTATAATTGTATTTGTCCAGAGCACAGCCCCGGACAGCTCCAGCGGGCGATATGAATGCGCCACCAGGCACCGGCGACGAAGTGAGGTCCCCAATCCAGCCGCGCAATTCGCGGCTCATCCCACTGGGCTCGTCGGCTTTGTTGTGTTGGCTCATCGCACTGGGCTCGTCGATTTTTTTGTGTTGGCTCATGCGCGGGGCCGCCGTCACTGCGCCCACACGCCACACAAACCTGGGTCCAGCAGCGCGGCCCCATTCGCAAGAAGACGTCTTCGCAGGGCGCGTGTGGCTGCCACCAGCAGCACGGTCAGGGAGGCCAGCAGCAAGCCAGTCGGCACGACAACCCATCTCAAGGAGCCGCCTGAATTTGGGCCCGTGGACGGGGTTACGACCTGCGGTGGGTGATGCAGGGACAGGTAGGACAGGAGAAAACCCTGCGTTCAAGGGATGTGGCCATCGTTGCAAGCAAGAGGATAAAAGAGGGCCTAATGCCAAAAGCGTCGTGTTATTGTTTTTATTAAGGTTAGCTGTTGCTTCACTCGTGGGTGGTTTATCCGGATTGCACATTGACCATGCATACAAGTTTATATCCTGCATTGGATCATCCCACCCTCAACCAGTATATATCAAGGACTGTTTTCTTAGAATTTCTCTCACTTGAAACATCAATCGTGCTGTGACGGTTCCCCCTTAAGACGGAAGCTTGTGTTGCCTCCGAAACGTCGTGATTTTTATTTTATTTTTATTTTACTTTTTTTACTTTAAATTTTTTACCTACGTGACTTTACCAAAAAAAACCTAAGAATATGAATCCTTGCAATCACGAAAGCTTCAAATCTAGAATGTACTTAGGGGCTTCATTTCTGATGTACTATTTTCCAGGGTACTCAAGCACCATCCCCCCCTCCCCCGGATCCCGTTCTCTCGCCACGACAGCCAAGCACTGGACAGCTCAGGTTGAACTTGAACCGGTCACGTTGTTTTTACGAGTTGCTCCTCACTCGTCGAGGGTCAGTGACTCAGGGCCCAAAGGCACCGCGATGAAAAAAACATTGTCGGCAAGAAAAGCGATCGCTTCAAGAAGCGATAAAAGCAGACGGCGCATCCAATTGTCTTCAGCCCACACTCCGCGCAGGGAAACAATGCAGTACAGATATCAGAATGAGACTCTTTATTGAGACTGCAGGAGGAATCTGTTGAGCTATGATGCTTTTTTTACAGGTGTCCAGTATGGGCGGGTCATATGTCATATTTTTTTTCTCAGCCTAACGGAGGCACATGTAGCAGCATTATCCGCGTTTTGGTTCCATTCAGATCACCCTCCCCTCCCATGACCCTGGATAAGTGAGTCGACTCGATGATTAGCATCATCATTCTCTTAGGTTTTTTCGGTAAAGTCACGTAGGTAAAACTAAATAATAAAATAATAGAAATAATATTAAAATTAAAATAATAGAAATAATATTATTACTATTATATTTATTATTTCTTTTTACCTACGTGACTTTACCGAAAAAACCTAAAAGTCGGAATCCTTACAGTCACGAAAGCTTCAAATCTAGCATCATCATTATTTACATTCGATCTTTTTCGTTGTAAAGCTGTGCTGATGATGAAGAGGGAAAGCTATTTTTTAAGAATTGTTTTGGACAATTATTTTTATTGAGAAAATGTGTAGAATTCTCACGAGATAATCCATATTCATCCTGGAGAAATCCGATGAGCTATAAAGATTTTTTTTCACAGATGTCCGGTAGGGGCGGCTCAGAAAGTTACAACAACAAACAGTACAAAAACAAATACCTTTACAGTGGACGTTACAGCTGCACTTGTTACGAGTAATGGGAAACCTGTTCAGTGGAAAAATAACAACACAAAATCAGCTCTTGGTGCAATGCAAAGGGGTGGATAAGTGTCGCAGTGGATAGCTTCCTGCACTATGAACCCGAATAAGGCTTGAGCTTGCTTGAATCCCAGCCACGGCTAACATCAGTGGCAAGTGATATCTGAAGTAGTCCTGGGCCCTTCCCCATTCACCAACCCACATTGTCGAGTGTGGTGAGGGTCTGATGAACCAAATCAATGAGCGACACGGTGTGGAGAGGATTTCACCCAGCACTGGGCTGACAAAATAGCTACGCACGACGCATGATGCCAATGCGGCGCCGTAAAACACAATCTGAATGTATGCAGTTCTCTTTAGAATGGCACTGCATCTCTAAAGGTCATGGCGTGAGCAGGTTTAAACAACTGTAGAAGCGAAAGCTTTCAGTCTGCGTGTTCACATCGTCCGCACCTGAGTCGGGAAAAACACATACATGAGGCCACACTGTCTCGTACGTGTGTGTGTGTGTTGAACATCTTTTGCTCCATACGGAGCCACCCGTGGCAATCTGCTGCTTTGCCACTGAACTCTCACAATAAACAATAGGACTGAAGACATTTCATTTCGTGCTCGAGCTTTTCAAGCAAATCCATTGTTATGCAAAAAGCGGATTTATGTTTGTAAAAGGATGAGTTTCATATTTATATATTTTTTTAAACATATATTTTGTGATTTTTAGATTATCAAGGACAAATTCAGATTATTATTTTTTTACGATGATCAGATCATTTACATCATATAATAATGTAACGGTATCTTTGTGCGCACAAAGGCGACGTCACTGATGCCACGTTACCCCACTTCTGTCGGTAAAAGCGTGAAAGATTCGTAACATTCGGAATTGCTTCACGTAAACCTCATACTTTTGGATAAATCCGAAACAACAACAAAAATATCAATCCGGATAAAATTTTTTGCGAAATTCCATATCTAGTAGGACGCCCGATTTTCAGATGAAACCAAAACTGGGCACCGCGTCCGCGAAGTTGCTACCACCCACCTTGCCATATAACCTCCAGCAGCACGCTGCTCACGCTCCTCGAGCCGTTCTCCCACGTCAGGCTGCACGTGAACACGCCCTGGTCAGAAGGGCACACCTGGACGATCCCCAGAGTGAACTCGTCGTCCTGACGCCCATAGGGAGAACCACGCTGTCGCCTTAAAGCGAGGCGCCGCTGGAACATGCGCAGGGCGTCGATGTTGTATCTCGCGTTGAAAGTGCCGTGCGAGAAACTGCCCTCCGCCAGCTGCAGCGGTGCCCGGTGGTTGTTTCCCGTCCACTCCCAGTGGACCGTCGGCTGTTTGGGGCTGACGTGTGAGACAGTGGGGCATTGCAGGGACACGTTCTGGCCCACGGGCACGGTCATGTTGTTGTGGGCGTCTGTGTGTGCGGAGCGCGGGGGCACAGCGAGCATGAGGATGTAACGTTGAATTAAAATAAACGACAGACTAAAACTATATTTTTTTTATTTTAGCAGGTATGGCCCACTCATCAATGTAGCTCTTTGTGCAAAAGCGACCTGTCCGTCGCAAATGATAGTTCAACGAAGTGGCTTATCAAACGTGGAAATATAAAGCAGTTAAACACTCTCAACGCATGATGTTTATTATAAATGCGGAGGGGAAAACCAGGGGAACCCGGAGAAAAATCCAAGCGACCACGGGGGGAGAGAGAGGGAGAGACACGCAAACTCCAAATATACAGCAGCAGGCGTCACGGTGGGGAACGAGGCCCTCCTGGGGTGAACGTCGCACCACCGTACGGAGATGTTAACTGAACTGAACAGCGAAATAAAAACGTGTTGACGAGCTTTCCTGAATGCACTCGTTTGGCAGCACGATGTGTGTACAAAATCGGCCAAGGATTATTTTAGTTGCCGAGCAATGAGGTGACAGCCTCGTTCGATGGGATGTCTCCTCACTCTCAATCTCGATTTACATACTCTACACATCTCGTGTGCACTTAGCATAGAACGCAGCTAAAGTGCCGTAAATGTCAGCACGATTGGCATCTTCTCTTACAGATGACAATGCAGTCCACACACACATAGACATATCCATTATCTCGTAATTACAAACAGGCCATGTCACCATCGCATTCACTGACGCGCATTATTATGTACGTATAATGAACTTATTTCGCACCGTATGTAGCCGTGATAATCGGAGGTGCGGGGGAAGGACAACAAACTAAACAGCGGATTTCCTTTCCAAGACAGAACATCTGGGTCGTCTTTTTTCTGCCTCCCCCTCCCGATCCATCACAACTCACCCAATGCTGACAGGACGATGAGCTGGGCCCAAAGCGGCACCACGACGCACTTACAAAATCCGTGCATGGTTCCTCTTCGGGGCAGGAGGGCGCAGTAGCGACCCTCTTGTTCTCTTCTCTCTCTCTCTCTCTGCTGCGCCTTGTGGCTGACGTTGATTAACCCCCCCGCCCCCCGTGCGCCGTGAGTCGTTTTCGACTTCCCGGTCACGGTGAGTCTGAAGTTGCGGTACAGCGGCAGAAGTTGCGATCTTATCCCGGCCTTGTGGGAATTTGCGAGGAGGATGTCCTTCTTCGCTTCTTCGCTTCTTTTCTCTCTCTCTCTCTCTCTCGTCTTAATTGTGACCGCGCCACGTGAATTGTGCACGAGTGGCACTCGACCACCTGCATTGGCACTTTTGAAAGGTTTTGTTCCGGTGAATGAACCACTTGACAGCCGAGGTGCTGCAGTGTGGCTCGCTCCTGCACGTGGGCAGATCTCGTTGTTTCATCTCAGTGCTGGGTAACCCCCCCCCCTTGCTCAACGGACGCCGTGTCAACTGTACCTCCGATTCGCACGGTCGGCTACGTACGGTGCGAAAGAAGTTCAACACACTGTGCTGTGCGTACGAATCCTGTTGCGTTTCGCAATTGTGTCCGACTCACAATTCGTTTTTTTTGTTGTCCAGCGGTTTATTGCACTGGCCAATTGATTATTTCCACGTTTATCGTGATCCAACCTTTGGAGCCTCCTTTATGAAATTAATTCTACCGCTGCAAATTTCCCACGTTTCACTCCCGTGGCTTGCTTTCATCAGTCGGTACCCACACGGCGACTTGCATGGTTCTGCTGCACTGCCGTGAGTGGCGCGCACAGCGATGTCTTACAAGTGCGTATCGTCACACTCCGGACACGCCTGTGTGTGTGTGCGCGTGTGCCGCAGGTAGCGTAGCGATACGCTGGGCTATGAACCCGATTCCCGCTCACGGCCAACACCGGTGACGATTATCTGAACCGGTCCTGGACCTCCCCTAGGTCGACTCAGCCTCAAATGCGTACCTGGCGCACAGTACAGGATTATCCTCGTAGCAAAAGTGGCTCATATGCTTCGGGCACCGGACTTTCAAGAGCCCCGCGCTAAATGCTTTCAAGCTATCAATTCCGCTTCAGTGATTCTGCACTTGCTCTATTACTATAGTACTACACTGCCTTCAACTTTTATGAACGACTGGGTGTTTAAGGTTAGCGATTTGTCGTATTATCTGGCTGCATAGCAAATGAAAAAATCTAATTACTTTACAATGCAAGTAAACAAATTGTGTTTTAATATTTACGTATTTATTTAATTTTATTTAGGGCCCCTTTATAATATATGCGATAGGCTCCGCCCTACCTTAATCCGGCACTGCTTATGCGGTGTGTAAACGTCGCTACTTTGGAGGCAAAGGCGGCCGGGCGTGGTGCTGGCCACCCATCCCCTCGTGTGCCACCGTGCCGGCCTTCATAGGTGCTCGCGAACAGCACTTGCCCCAACAGTCTTCTACGGCTACACGGGGTCCTTTGTCTTTGTGTACCGCAGAGTTGCGCAATCGACGCTCTTATTTGTCAGTCATTAGTCGAAACAGACTGCGACACCGCCTCCTCGCGTTTGAAAAACGCGAGCGCGCAAATCGTCACCGAACGCCACGGGAACGCCGGGTGGGGGGTGGTGATTTTGGGAGGTGCGGACTTCAAAGAGAAGGCGCTTTGGCATGCGCCACGTGCGACGAAAGACGACGCCGACTCGGCTGTGCGATACGAGAAGGAGAAGAACGGCGAGTGTCACGTAAGGGGATTGTGTTTGTTTGTTTGTGTGCCGAAACGCAGGTGCGTTGTGCCTGTGGGCAGTGCGTGTGTTGTTTGTAAACACGCACAGGGCTTAGCGATAACAGGGCGAACATAAATCACCATTATCGTTCAACTTAGCGTAGACAGGAACTGAAAGTGCATGATAAGATGCACTCCCCCCCCCCCCCGCTTTCGGAAGTGTATGTAGAACTTCTTTCGCACCGTACGAAGCCAACCGTGCTCATCGGAGATGCGAGGGAAGGACAACAAACGAAACATACACAAAAAGCTTGCCATCTTTTAGTGCAAACGTCCACGTTGTTTGCCCTATCCGCCATCGACATTCCTAATATCTGCATGCATCTGTATTCAGAGGGAGCAGGACATTTATTTTCCTATTCTTGGTTCTTTCGGTAATGTCACGTAGAAGGGACATAATGAAATAATAATACATTTAAAACAATAAAACTTTTTTTTTTATTAAGTCCCTTCTACGTGACTTTACCGAAAGAACCAAGAATATGAATCCCTGCAGTCACGAAAGCTTTAAATCAAAATGTATTTTCTTGTTGACGCTACTTTGCTAGCGAACAATCTGACTCGTACCGTACCGTGGACATTACCCCTGCCTACACAACATCCGTCTCTTAAAATCAAAGTAGCAGGCATCGATCCCCTGCCGTTAATTGGCTATGACCTGTACGGACCGTATGTGGAACTTCTTTCGCACCGTACGTAGCCAACCGTGCTAATCGGAGGTGCGGGGTGGGTGGGTGGGGGGGAGAACAACAACAACAACACACAAAATGTTTACTTGCAGGGTCGAGTGAGAAACTTGTGTGTCAGGGGTCAATGACCTCCCAGACGTGCAAATCGTGCGATACACCAAACGCTGTCAAATAAACACGGCACGCAGCCCCACTGCCAGGTTTGGGTGGCGATTTCAAAAACAAACCGCTGGATGCCAATTCCGACCCACGGGACGCCACCGCCACGACCAGCAAAGGGGCCGTCCATAAATGACGTCATGTAACTAGGGGGGGGGGTTCAGACATTTGTGACGATGGGGGGGGGGGGGGTTGAGAAATGTGACGTCACATCAGAATGCGCAACTTTAAATAAATATAGAAAACACGTTATACTAATTAAATAGACTTTTTATTACGTGTTTTCTCCTACAACATCAGAGTGCAGCGCCACATTAAATACGCACGACAATAACAATAGTTCAAAGCGATTTGAAGCATGTTTCAATTGGGGGGGGGGCAGAGCTTTGTGACGTCATATATGAGGGGGGGTCTGAATTTTTGTGACGCCGTGCGACGAGTGGGGGGGGGGGGGTAAAAAATCGTCCAAAATCGCGTGACGTCATTTATGTACGGCCCCAAAGCAGCTCATGCCACGCGGTGCCTCGGCTACCCACGGTGTACTTCTCTTCACGAGCTGTTGATGGGTGCTTGCATAATGCACGTGTAGTGAGCGACTTCCCAGACGCGTCGAGTAGAAGACTTCTTATTTATTAAGAGCACACGGGGCGATACACTCGTAACGCAGCTACACATCGGCGATCCGAACACGCAGCCCATCCCCGTCATACTCTACGCTCAGTTTAACACGTAGGCTTTCGCGACTAAATATTATTCATAATCAACGTTTTTGGGTTTAGATCGCGTTAAAAATCGTTGCACCTGATGAGTTAAATGATGACGTCACCCTGCTGCTGCTGCTCTATTTAAGACCGGGAGCAAGAGCAGAGCCCCTCACCATTCTGGCGAATTGCCCGATGATGCTGGATGCAATTACCAGCGAAACGTCGTATGACTCAAAAATTGTAAATGTGGTTTCACGCTTCAACACACCGGTGGGCAAAAGCAATGAACTATATGTCTTTTGTCAACGTGACACTTTTTTGCTGATTGGCCATGTCGGGTGGTGGAGGGTTACGACACATTTATAAATAAAGTGATATAACCAAAAAACGTTGATTATGAATACACTACGCTGGCAGTTCGACGAGCGTAGCGGCGGCGAGGGAGCTGATCTTGCAGAAGAACAGCCACGTGGTCCAAGACGAAGAGATGACGACGAGCAGCGACGCAGCCAGGACCCAGGACCCGCAGAACAGCCCCGAACCTCTCTGGTTCGACCCCCCTTATATCTGCCCGGCGCGGCCAAACTCTACCCGCATTCACTGCAGAGTAGAAGTTGTTATTATTATCTGTGTGGAGCCCCGAGGCCTGGATTGGAAAGCCACACCCTGATAGAGGCCACGTGCTCCATAGGGGCACGGGGAACACATGGAATGGGCATCTACAGACGACAAATTAAGGCCCTCTTACATAAACTAGACAGTAAAACGATGTCGTTTCTGGCCAAGTGTACAATTGTAAACATGTTTAAGACCATTTAACGAGTGGCGTATTCAGTAGTACTCTTCTACTAGAAGCATTGCATCTGCCTCGCCCCCCTTCTGTGTAAGCCGGCATCTGGGCCACTCCGAGCCCTGGGTTCTGGTGGAGTTTCACCGCCTGCTCACCCAACTGCTGCTCCACCCACCGTCGTATAATCAAATCGGATATAAATGTATCCATATATTTAGAGAGAAAAAAAACCCACATAGATGTCTTATTTGAAGAAATACAACTAATAAGATTGTAATGTCAATGTCCACCTCCCTGGTCTCGCTTGCAAACAGAGATTCAACTCAATCGCCTCTGTCCTGGTAGTTAACGGGCTTTGTCTGGTAGATCCCAACAGGACGTTGTCTCAGACTGCCGAGTGCGGTCACGTAACAATGGCATGTTTTACCCGAGCCGTCTTCCGACCATCAGTGGCTTTACGTCAGAGGGGAAGTAGAAGTAAAACAAGCCGTGCCGACTGTTTATTTACCTACGTCTTTATTTCTGCCCCATCACAAACTCAAATTATAAAGCTCAGCCACTGGCTTCCTCGTCTATTTCAGCTTCTGTTCGAAACCAATTTGTCTGCGTATTTAATCGCTTTGTGTATACAGTCTCGAGGCGTGCTCATGTTCTCTAAACCATATGTGCCTCCCTCCTCTGCCTGTCTCTCAACGTATGCACAAATTCACAGACGAATACGTGAAGTGGGAATTGGGCAGTACACATTGCTAAAACCAAAAAAAGACTAAACAATTTTTTTTCTTTTACCAGGTAAAGCCCACTGAGCTATACAGCTCTTTTTCAGAAGCGACCTGGCCACAAATGATAGCTCAACGAAGTGGCTTATCGCGTGGAAATTTATAACAGCAAAACACTAAACGGATGTTTCTAAATGTGGATGTA